GCAGCTTGACCCCGGCTCACCCTCCCGCGCCGAGCACCCCCTGTGCCGGGAAGTTCGTCCCGGAATCTAACCTCGATGCCCTCCAGCTGCACCACGGGGGCGGGGTCAGGGTAGGAGGCTGCCTAGAAATCGGGAAGCTGGGCGCGCCTGGCCCCCAACTCGCCGCTGAAAAGACTTCCACCTGCTCCCCAGAGCGATCCTACGCGGAGGGACCGAGTCCCGCACCCCAGCCTCGCTTGCCACCCCCATCCTGTGGCCTGGGCTACTGACTTGGGGGTGAGTCTGGGGTCCCCAGGGCAGCCCAGGGCTCATTTTACTGTGTGCCTCCAGGGCGTTGATCCATACCTACCTGGTGGCCTACTCTGGAAGCAGCAGATGTAAGACCCCCAAGCACAGTTGCAGTAATTAAATCCTTTAAAGTGACTGGCCCAGGACCAGGAGGAGATGGTGGGACCAGAGAGGTGGGGGCCAGAGGCCCAGGCCCCACTGTGTCCCCCCAGCCTTGTGACCTGATCACTGCTGAGTGGCCTCCCTACCCAACCTCTGCTGGGGAGATGCAGCCAGCCTTGCGGAATGCTGCTCTGGCACGGACACCCGTGGGGGCAGGGGGCTGGCTGTTCTGCCAGAGGCTGCAAAGGAACCTTGCCAGACTGAGCAGGCAGCTGGGTGGGGACCATGGGGTACTGGCCTGGCAGAGTCCAGGTGGTGACTGGGGCTACCATTGTGGAGAGGAGGCCTCTGTGGGCTTCTCCTTTGCCCCATGTCATCACTCTAATGCCTGTCTGCATCCCCACCCTGACCCCAAGCTGACTGCTGCCCCACCCTGGGTCACCCCAGCCCTCCCACACAAGTGCACTTGGTTCACCAACAAACTTGTGCCAGCTGCAGCAGTATCCCCACAGATTGCCACCTTGCTCATGGGTGAGCAGGGAACCTAGGGCCTGCTCCGGGATGATTTGTTCTGGGTGTTGGGAGAGGGAATGGAGCAGAGGCAGAGTCCTAGGCTGGCACCGTGAAACAGCCTGATGGTCTGTCCTGTAAGATAGCAAGGGCCAGAATGGGGAGACCCTCAAGAAGGAGGAGGAGAAAATGTCTCAGGGACAGAGATGGGGTCAATAGAATGCCCAAGATAAGGGGAGGAGTGCACTCGGTCAGTGGAGATGAGAAGACACACTCACTGGGTAGAAAGAGATGAGATCAGAACGGAAGGGGCCCAAACTGGACATGCCCCTGGAGCTTGGGCATCTAGGAGGCCCCTGGCAGCTGGTTCAGCTCCGAGAGGCCCCTGGCCTACATTGTCTCTTCCCTCCCAACCCGCTTCCTCATCCAATTCAACGTGGATCCTTGTATTACCTGTGAGATGACAAGGAAGGGGCTTGGAACTGTTTGGTTAGATGTAGACTCTGAGGCACAGAGTGAGATAAGTCAAGCAGACATATCAGAGTCAGAAGCTAAAGAAAAGTGGGGCTGGGGAGCTGGGCACACACCTGTAATCCCAGAGATTTGGGAGGATGAGAGGTAGGAGGATTCCAAGTTCAAGCCAGCCTCAACTTAGAGAGGCCCCTAAGCAACTCAGGGAGACCCTGTCTCTAAAGAAAAAAAATACACAAAAGGGCTGGGGATGTGGCTCAGTGGTTAAGTGCCGCAGGATTCAATCCCTGGTACCAAAACAAAACAAAAAGGCTGAGTGCCACCTCTTATGGGCTGGAAGGAGCCTGGCTGGGCTGTGTGGGACACTCCTAGACCCACATCCAGCCACAGCTTGGCCAAGAGTGGCCAGTGTGACCAGGGGAGGCAGGCTGGTCCTTTTGAGAATAATCTTGGCTATGGCAACCAGGCTGGAGGAGGGACTGGAGGCTGGTGAGAAGATAGAAGTGCTCAGTGTCCCCAAAGGCCCCAGCTGCTCTCCTCTTGCTTTTTGGGCTGCAGGTCATCGTCTGGGGAGCCCTAGGCAGAGCCTGAGCTCTGTGGGATGCTGGTGCCTGGGTACACTAGACCTGTCAAGAAGCCCTGTGAGTCGAGTCTGGGAGACCCAAAGGGCTGCTCCCCTCAGCTGTACTACTGCAGAGCCTGGGAGGAAACAAGGTATCACTGCAGGCAACTGGAGAGATGGGTGCAGTGGGGTCAACATACTCTTTGAGTGGGAGTATGTGGCTGGCAGACAGGCAGCACTGTTCTTGGCCTGGTGAGGGACACACAGGGAACTTCACCTCCTGGAGGGGTGAGTGGGACTGAATTGCAGGGAGTCCAGAGTCTGCAGAACACTCAATTGGCAAGGGCAGAGCTCAGTAAGCCACCTGGAGCTGAATGTGGTGGTCAGTAAAGGCATGCCCCTGCCTCTGGAGTACAGCTCCTGGGATTTCTTGAAACTTCCCAAGTACCTAGCCCTCAGCTTCTCTCTCATGATGAGGCTCCATGCCCCAGATTGTGCTTGGAGTATCCCCAGACTTGGCTAGATTCACACACTCCCCCACCCAGAACCTGGAAAGAACAGGTTCTGCTTGGGGTAGGGAGGGCAGAGTGCAGGGCTCAGCCTCCCTCCAGGACAGGGAGCAGTGTGGAGCTGAGCTGAGGGAGGAAGGAACACAGCATGGGGCTGGTAGGGGCGGCAGGAAAGTTCAAAGCCACCCACTGGGAGCTGACCAGGGCCTTAGATCTCCTGGGTGTGGGGTTGTGCCTGTGTTGTTCTGCATTGTCTGGGCCCAGCACTAATAGGCTACAGCTGCCCTAGGGTGGGGCCTAATGCAAACCAGCAGCCTGCCTGGTCCCCTTTCCTAGTATCAACATCAAGACCTTGGCATTCCAGGCCTTCCTGGCAGCTTCTAGAATCCTCTCCTGCCCTGCTGGTTCAAGAGGAGATGCCAGACTCTCACTAGGGATTCAGCCTGGCCCATCCACCATGAATGTGGTAGGACTCCACACTTCCTAGAGGTGGTGACCCCTGGGCCACTTTGATAGATGAATAATTCTAAGCATTTATCCACCACAGATCCTTCAGGCATGAAATGTGAGGTCAGTAGGGTTTTTACTTCAGCTTCCCCTAGAAATCTGGCCTGGTGGTAGACTTTAGTTGCTGGGGGACCTGGGGCTGTTGAAACACTCTGGGCCTGGCCTAATGGGAGGCAGGTCTGAGATGAGCACCCTTAGTTATCTATCACATCTGGTTGTACCAGTCACACATACCCTTTTAGTGTTCATGAGCTAAGAGGACCACTGACCGCAGATCAAACGTGCAATCAGAGGCCCAGGGTCAGGGCCCAAGATGCGGAGTACAGGAGTTTGTCCCTGAGACCTCAGGTCACTCCTTCCATGTTTTCGAGGCTCTGCCTGGTTGAAGGGATCCCCCTCACTGGCCTGGGTCTTTCCTGCATGCTGTAGAGCTGAGCTAAATGGAGCCCAATGGACCACAAATGGTGAGTAGTGGGTTTGGGCATTCCAAGAGGCAGAGTGCTTGTCCCTGGCCCCTAACTTGGCCACAAACTAGCATGGTTTGGAAGCCACACCTCGCAAGGTGGCAGGACTGGCTTCAGGTTTCCAAAACACTGGTTTTTAGTTGGTGTTGATTGCTGCTACCCATAGAGGTGAGCACCCACAGGGGGCCTCTGACCCACAAGGAGGGGAGGCTGCAGCAGGGTGGCACTGTGCAGTCAGAACTCTGAAAGAAAACAAACCATGAAAGCCTTGGTCCCTGTGTGTGGCCACAAAGGCTCTTGCCTGTGCCTTCAAGCACTGAAGCTTCTCAGCAATACAGGGATCAGGTGTCTTCAGGGTATCCAGCTCCCTCCCAACACTAAAGAGGCTGCAGCCTTCACAGTGCCTAGCTGAGGTCCCCCCCCCCCCAGCACTCTTGCCAGCTCACTCTTAAGCCCCTCCTGGGAATGTGTGCTCTCACCTCTCTAGGTCTGCAGTAGCAGCAATCAATTCCAACTGCTAAAACCAGTGTCTTTTGGAAATCCGAAGCCAATCACTGCCACCCTGTGAGGCATGGCTTCCAAGGCTGCCACCTGGCCATACTAGTTTACAAAAGTCCTTCAAGGCTGAACACTTGCTGCTAGGCTTCTAATACCAAGCAGAGCCTCTTTTCTCTTTCAGTATTATGACTGCAAAGAGGGGCATTTCCTTGAATTCTTTTTTTTCCCTCCTACAAATGGAAACATATCTTTATTTTGTTTATTTTTTTTTTATATTTATTTTTTAGTTTTCGGCGGACACAACATCTTTGTATGTGGTGTTGAGGATCGAACTTGGGCTGCACACATGCCAGGCAAGCGCGCTACCGCTTGAGCCACATCCCCAGCCCTATTTTGTTTATTTTTATGTGGTGTGAAGAATCTAACTGGTGCCTCACATGTGAGAGGCAAGCACTCTGCCACTGAGCCACAACCCCAGCTCTCCTTGAATTCTTTCCATCCAATTAATGCCTAGCTAATTCAGAGTCAAGACCAAAGCCCCTGACACATTTCCCAATATGGCCCAACTAATCAAGCTTATCAGTATATCAGAATGTAAATAAAAACTCACTGCAAAATAAGACCACGAAGAACTTCCTGAGGGGATTTCCCCACAGTTAACACACTCTACCGTTTTAAAATTTAAAGCAAAACATTCAGATTTGACAATTTCTGGAGTCCAGTGTTAATTTAGAAAACTCGATATCTGCAAGTGAAAAGTTATGCTAATTCACTAAGAAAACACACATTCCTTTGAGCTCTGAGGAGAAAGTTAATTGTACTTGCCTGGGAAATTCTCATGTGTGTGTTAAAAATATCACCACGAATGCTGTCTCTGGAGGTGAGAATCTGCCCCTCGCTAGCTTGCTGGCTGCCTGGTAAACTGCTACTGGGGAAGGTGGGGGGGGGGATGGAGAGTACACAGACCATCCCTAGGCAGCAAATCACAGATGGGTTGGGCATCTTTCCTCCTCAGCAGAGACCTCTGTATGCAGGTCACTTCAGCTGGATGACAAAGCCTAAAGGAAATCTGGAATTTCCAGAGGGAGAGCAAGCGCCATTGATGCCTATCTCTGTAGGGTAACAGCTCTGTCTAACATTCTCCCTGGCTCCATTTCTTGCCCCACCACTAAATAGAAGACAGTAAGCTGCAAACAGAAGGTCTCTTCACTGGCTAGGTCAGCCAAGATGCTCAGTGATTTATTTTTCCCATTTCAGACAAACTAGTTGAAATCTGGGTGAGTAAAGAAAGATGAAACAGGGGGGCTGGGTTGTGGCTCAGTGGTAGGGCGCTCGTCTAGCATGCACAAGGCACTGGGTTTGATCCTCAGCACCACATAAATGTAAAATATATTGTGTCCACCTAAAACTTAATACTTAAAAAAAAAAGATGAAACATTCACAGACAGATTTAGACTAAGTATATATTTTAATTTCTACAAGGTCCCTCTTTCAAGTTTTAGGGAAATTGAGGTGTATACAAATTAGACATTGCTAGTATGTACAAAAGTATTTTCTATATTTTTTGAACAATACCAGCTATTTCCTTTGCAGTAAACAGGACGTTACAAAACCAGTCCAATAATGATTTTCTATTAAGAAGCACATTATATGACATAATTTAGTTTTATTAAAAAATAACTTCAAAATACAGTTCAATCCCCTTTTAGGAAGAAAAGCTATTTCTGTAGCTCACTTCAGTAAACACACAAGTTGAACACTTGAGCAGAGGGCCATCCTTGTCTGTAGAGAAAACACACGAGGCTTCTACCCTTTTAGGATAAAATCTAACCCATAACTAAGGCGTAGGCAAAGTCACTGCCTCTCTGCCTTCTATACACTAGCAGCCCCCAGAACCTATGAATATGATACCACTCCTTTTATTACATCATTTCTATGGCACAATTGACCTTAAAAGAGATTATATCTGGGGCTTGATCTCATCACCTGGAACTTAAAACACGAGGAAGGTAGATTTGTAGCATGAGAAGCAGGAGGACTGGAAGGGCCACTGCTGGTTTGTGGACAGCCTTAAAGGAGTCAAAAGGCCCCTTTCTGAGGCAAGCAAGAAACGTATTCTGCTAACAATCTGAACAAGTCTGAAACAGAGTCTTCATAAAGGAAAGTTGCCCTGCCCACCCCTGACTTCAGTCCGTGAGACTTGAAAATCCAGCTATAACATGCTGGACCCGCAAGCTGCAGAATTATGAACCAAAGAAATGGGTGTTGTTTTAAACTACTAAATTTGGAAGAATTTGTCATACAGTTACAACTCATATACTGCCCAAGAGTAACTTTTCTGAACCTAATTAGATTTAGTAGTTTCTTTTTGGGTTCTGAATGCATTTTTTCCCCCACCGACTAGTGTTATTAAAACAGTATCCGCCTTTGAAGGCAATATTTGAAAATCCTTAATATGAATCAATCATTGTTCTGTATGTGTGATCAAGTACTGATTTTTTATTTAGTTCTGTTTCCTAATGTACTTATATCTTCTGACTTGATAAACAATGGACCACCTAATCTGGTTTACCTACTTCTCATGGTTGACAGCTGTATATATTTTTTGGTGCTGGGGACTGAATCCTGGGACTCAGGAGACATGCTAAGCACATGCTCCACCCCTGAGCTACATTCCCCAACCCTTGGATAAGAATTACAGTACCTCCAATGTGGTGAGTGAGCCCTCCCATCCATCCAGGGTTGTCATATCCCTCATCTGAGGGCTCTTTTCCACTTCCCAAATATACCAGGCAAGGCCTGGGGCAGGATGGCACAGACTTCTACACCAACATTCAAAATGAATTTGTCCTGCATAACTGGATTAAATTGGCACTAAGGTGATTAAGTACACTTGGGGGGGAATTCAAATTGAAGATTAAAAAAAAAAAAAACAAAAAAAAATCAGTACTAGTTTTCACAGGTCCAATTATTTTTGGAGGAACACCCAAAGCCTTGGAAATATGACATACAGTACTCTACAGCCCTCTCTTCTGGTTCACTCAGGTCAAGCAAGGCTTTACTGAACTAGTGGGTTGCAACACAAATGAGAAAAACATGCTATTGGAACTGTTCTGCTGCCGCTGTGGTACATTCTTTACTTGAAAGACTTCAAAGTAAAACCCTGTAAAATGGCTCCAGGATGGTGGCAACTAAGGTTCCAGTGTTATTCTTGAAGTTCCCTTTCTAATCCACTCTTCCACAAGCACACACATGTGTAGACCTAAGTGTCCACCCCCACCACTGCCAATCCTGCCTGCTCCAGGGGACCCCCAACCCACATATGTTTGAGAGAAGCCCCCCAATATTCAAAGTGAAGACAGCTCAGAAGAAACCATTTTCAGTGCCAGTGATTTAAAAAGAAATTCCTTATTCTCTCTCATAGTATTATTATGTGGAATATGTAAGAATAATGCTTAGAGAGGCACCAAAAGGTACCAAGCACCAAAGCATGAACTGGATATAATTGTTTTTTATAATCTAAACTTCTGATAGTTTTTATTAAAAAGCACACAAAGTACTAATTCCTTAGAGACAGTGCAGGTATTTATAGTTAAGGCTGATTTTCTCTTTTCAACCTTGTCCATCAGCCTGAAATAATGCAGACCGTGGGCAGTATGATGACTGCTTTCCTGATTGAGCCAGCGAAGAAGCAATGTATGAATTAAGAACCCCAGAGCCACACTGCCTTATGCTCCTGGTTACCATTGGTATGGATTCGGGTGGTTTGTTTTTATAAGACTGTACAACTGGTATATAAACATTTGGCCGCCTTTAACAGTTCTTCTTCACAGTTCTATGCTTGGCAGCATGTATGCTAAAACCTGAAAAATGGGCAAAAAGAATCTGTATTCTTAGGAATACATGAGATGGAAAGAAATAGTCTACCTAAAATAATATTGCAAATTATACTTACATAGATTTCACAATTTCTTGATTCAAGAAAATGAAAATTCCAAAGTTGGCTACTGTAAAATGTGGCATAAAAATATTTCTAGGAGACATCTGTATTTTAAATTATTCTACACATGTAAATGAATAACAATTGTCTTTGAAATTCATCTCTAATACTGAAATAGAACAACAGACTGCCATTAAGTTTCTTAAACTTTTTTAAGTTATCAGATATTTACAAATACGATATAATTTGTATCAAAAAAGGACATTTTCAACTATATCTGCTGCTTTCACTGGGGCTTCGGTGATGAGAGTAACTTCGGTCACTTTCACTGTCAGAGCCATAAGATCTACAACTCCTGTATAACAAAACAAAACACACGAAAACCTTTTAACTATCCATCCTTTCAATTCCTCTTGGATCTTCCTTTTTGATATGAGTGACTTCAATACACTATTGCTACAGCAAGCGCAGGGGATAGACAAGTACAGTTCTGACTATGGCTTTTACTATGGACTTTTCAGGATGTTTAAAATGATATATGGTAGCAATATCAAGATTAAGATAAAAATAAAGAACAAGGCACAATGGCACAGGCCTATAATTCCAGCACTTGGGAAGCTGAGGCAGATGGATTTCAAGTTCAAAGTCAGTCTCACAATTTAGCACAAAAAACTAAAAAGGGAGGCCTGGAGACATGGCTCGGTAGTAAAGCATATCTCTGTTCAATCCCCAGTACCAAAAATCAAAACAAAAAAACTTCACGCTTGTGACATTTACTTGAAATCCATTCATGCAGAGAAGCAAAATAATTTTCTGTGTTACCCAAAATGATCAATATTTGATTAGCTAGTCTAAGGAAGTAAGTAGGGGGAAGATGCATAAATAGTTTCACTGAAGGAATGGACACCAAAATTTGGGCCCAATGGGGTTCAGAAATGGATCTGCACATGAACGAGGCCACTGGGATATTGACTCAAGAGGACCTGGTCACAGTTACCCTTCAGTTAGTTAAAAAAATATATTGAGTGTCACAGTAGGCATCAAAGGGGAGGTGGGGCAGGTGACTATAATATAGTTTCTGGAGCTCAAGGATAATATAGAATAGTGTGCAAAGCAATTAAGTTAGAAGCAATGAGAACCCCAGGGGAGCAAAGTCTGCTTCAGAGGCACATTGAAGGGGCTGTATTTCCTGACTCCCAGGGGCAGTGGAGTTGCAGTAGAGACCTGCAGGGTAGGTGGGATTAGTTATTTTAAGAGGCAAAATGGGGGATGGTGGAGAGGGCACTTATGTCTCTAGGCAGAAGGAAAGGTTTCAGCACATCAAAGGAGAGACACCGGGATCAAGAGTCAGAGATGGTGTTCATAAGTGGTGGAACCTTGCATGCAATGACAAGGAGCCTGAGCCTAACTGAAGAGAGCAGTGAGTCCCTGAACCATCTTAGGCAATAGAATGTCCAGATCACTGTAAGGAAACATTACAAAAGTCACCATAAAGACTTCTGCAGTAGCCAAAATACATTACATACAACATAATACATATGTGTGTGTGTGTGTGTGTGTGTGTGTGTGTGTGTATTTGCATGAAAAATATATTTTACTAAATAATTGACTCTAAACCTCCATTCTGCCACTGGAACAAATGATGATTAACATTTCTTTTTTTTCCCTTGTGTCCAGTAGATTGAACCTAGAGGTGCTTTACCACTGGGCTACATCCCCAGCCCTTTTTTGCTGACTGTTGATTGAATGACTGATTGTCAGCCTCCAGAGTCATTGGGATTACAGGCATGTACCACCATGCTTGGCTTGATATTAACATTTATTTTATGTCTTTGTTTTAAAAAATGATAAATTGGCTATTTCTAGCAAGTAACCCAACTTAAGGAAGTAGGACATGGTTTGTTGTTTTTTCCCTTTACTCCTCCTAAAAGAAGTATTTGTTCAATGATATGTGAATACTTAAAGAACCCAGTTTAGATTCAAACATGAACCACCACCAATAGATATTACCTGATGACTCATAATAACAAAGCTACTTCTACCAGCTACCTGTGGATTCTGGAAATTTGAGAAGATAATGGAGTATTTCTGTCCTCTTCCATCACCTTACACACCAAGTGCCCTTAAGAACTTGATGTGCTCTAAAGGAAGGACCCACCTGGACCGCCTGTTGTAACTTCTGCCTCGGTGGTAACTGTCACTCCTCTGGCTCCGGCTTCGGCTCCGACTCCTACTGTAGTAGCTATCATAGGTGTAGGACCTGCTTCAACAGCAACAACACACACTAAATTTTCCCATTCAAATATTCACAGAGATTTCCATTTCTTTGTAGGTCTCTAAGAGTGTTTTAACTTAGAACACAGGCACTCAATGACAGTGTGAGGACACAGTTGTATAACAAGTACTAGAAACATTTAGTAATTGCCCTAAATCAGACTTACCATGTTAAAGAGAAAAATGTTTCTTTTCTGCATTGAAAAATATCACAAAATTAACACTGAGTTAGTTTGACTGAATCTCATAGATCTTATTAGGCAATTATATTCAACAAACACCTGGTATTACCATTTTATATTAGTTATAATCCAGACACTGAAGTATAATGGGCTGACAGATAAAAACTGTCAAAAAGATCTCATTTACAAATGGTATGATTACAGAAGACACAAATACATTTAACTTCTTCAATAAAAAATTCAAGGTGACCTGGGCATGGTGATATGTGCCTGTAATCCCAGTGACTTGGCAGGCTGAGGTCAGAAGATCACTAATTTCAAGCCCAGCCTCAGCAACTTAGCAAGACTCTATCTCAAAATAAATTAAAAAAAAGGGGGCTGGGGTTGTAGCTCAGCACCATGTATAAATAAGTGAGTAAAATAAAGGTCCATCAACAACAACAAAAATATTTTAAATAAATAACAGTTGGGGACTTAACTCAGTGGTTAAGTGCCTGGGTTTAATCCCTAGTATAAAAAACAAAAAACAAAAGAACAAAAAAACCAACAATATGCTAGGTGGTGGGTACAGTTCAGTGGTAGAGCATATGCTTACTGGCATGTGTGAAGTCTTGGGTTCAATCCCTGACACCAAAATCACAACAAAACAAAACAAAAAAATGTCCACCACACTTTGAACTGAGAGTTTATAAAATGAAGCCTCTCCAATTTGCCCCTGTGGGTGGGTACCCAATTCCTGTCCTTACCTGGACCGACTGTGGGGATCATACGAGCTGCTCCTGGATCTGCTCCTGCTAGATGTCCTAGTATGAATCACAGGAAAGACCATCACCTTGTGGATTGGGGCAAGGCAGGCTTTATAAAAATTCTAGACTTTTTTTTTGTCCATCAAAGTGAAAATACAGCAACATCTTGTAATTATATATTTTAAAATTTTTTTTTAATTGTAGATGGACATGATACCTTTATTTTACTTTTTATATGTGGTGCCAGGGATCAAATCCAGTGCCTCATACATACTAGGCAAACACTCTACCCCTGAGCCACCACCCCAGCCCCAACTATATTTTCTTTTTATATCCATGTACACTAGAATCTTTAAAAGCCCATTGGTTTCTGAAGAAAGATTAAGTTTTATACAGTTCTTCCATGAGATGTACATAAAGTCACTGGAAAGGGTCTGTGAACTAGGTGGGGAGGGGGAAAGGTCCAAATAGATAGGTCACTCATAAATGAAGTTACAGCAGTGGAGCACACCTCAGAGTCCAAAGGGGGACAGAAGCTGGTGAATTAGAAATGTGGCTAACACAGACTTCTCCCTCTTGGCCCCCTCCCTGTAATCCTATCACAATGCTAACCCAAGGCAAGGGGTGATTATAGCTAGAGACTACAGTTAAGGAGATGCATTTGGAGAAGGCAGAAGTAGTGGTCACAGGCTTCTTTTTTTTTTTTCTTCTCATGCCTCACTGTGATAAGGTCCCATCAGAGGACTATCCAAAAGAATTCCATAAGTCTTTAAAATAAAAAGCTAAGAGAGCTGGTGTTGTGGCTCAGTGGTAGAGGGCTTGCCTAGCGTATGTGAGGCACTGGGTTCATCCTCAGCACCACATAATATAAATAAATAAAATAAAAGCACTGTGCCCACCTACAACTAAAACAATATAAATAAATAAATAAATAAATAACTAGAGGAGACGACAGGCCAGTCTGGTGTTCAGCAATGATAAGGTTCTTCTTAATGGCTACACCACTCTGCCTACGCAAATCCTTCAACAGCAGTCCTGATAGAGACCACAGTGTGGGGCAGGACCACAAACTCACCTGTGACTTTTGTAACTCCGATAGGAACTGCTCCGGCTTCGAGTTCGACCTCTGCTGTACCATCCTCTGCTCCGACTTCTAGAATAGCTTCTTGATCTACAATTAAAACAAGTGAGAAACACACGATTATATTAACTCATAATGTTAAAATTAATTACAGGTGGGGAATGACAGGAATACAAACAAGAAGAAAGGTCTCTCACAAACTCTGCATAGAGGACATGACAGTGACACTGCTAATGGGGCAATCTGGAAATGAACCATAAAAGGGTGGTATGGATGTGTTCATAGGAGCCCCAGTTGTAATACCAAAAGAGGAGATGGTCCAAATCTCCATTACAGTTATGTGTATCAACAGAGATACAGGTCAGGACTACAACACTGAGTGAAAAGGGCAAGTATAGAACATCCACATGTGTAAAAGGCTTTTATTTATAAAAAATTCTAGAACACATAAAAATAACACTGTGTGAGAATAGAAATATCTGTGATTAAAATGTAAAGAGAAAAAATAAAACAATAACACAAGTCTTAGAATAATGGTTAACTCTAGGAGAGAGGAAAAAGTCCAGCCTCAGCAACTTAGCAAGACCCTGTCTCAAAATAAATAAAAAAAAGGGGCTGGGGTTATCCATTTTATTACTTTTATACTTTAATCATGTCTTATTTTTAATATTAAATATTTAATAAAATATTTAAGAACCCCAGTTCTTTTCCTCTGAATTCAGTTGGTTCCCTACCTTCTTTGCTCTACTTTAAACCTGACATTCAGGAATAGTGTGTATAGCTACTTATGCAATATCTCCATAGATTTTATTCATGATGTACTTATGTTTTGGAATATACGACCTGCTTCCAGTTTATCTGCAAGAGAATGAATGTAGTATGTTCTAATGAGATTCTAGTCAATTTATGCAAACAAAAATTACAGATAAATCCTATGAGGTGACTGAAAAAGAATTAAGACATAGTCTTCAAATTCAAGCAGTTTACAGCATAGTTGGGGGGGCCAGGTCCAGGTGGGTAACCAGAAAGGAAGGGAGGGCAGTTCCCAGGCTTAACCATCTCAGTCTACTACCCACTGAGCAAATTCCTTAGCATTTTTATGCCTATTGTTTCCATTTATTAAATAAGATACCACCTACTCCAAAGTCAAGGGTAGAAAGGCAAGTGAAGAAGAATGGCTTGCATCACCAATAGATCATAGCTGTCTAAGTAAAAATGGCAAAGCTGATCATGAGCAAATAGGAAGCTCGAGTAGCTGAACAGGCAGCCACTATCCAGTGATAAGAACACAGAGAGAAAAAGCCAGGATTCACCAGCTCTCTGGGCCTAGAAGGAGTCGGGACAGGAGGAGGGAGAGCCTGTGACACAGGATGAAATGGTCTGAGAAGAATGAGGAGAACTGGCCCAGGGCTTCCAGTAGGTGGGGAAATAGTGAGTTCAGGGAACAGTGTGGAGAGAAGGCACAGAAGACAGCAAGCAAGCAACAGAGGAGTGAAGTAGAGAAAGTCACTATAGATGGCAAGTAGTGGCTCCTTTTATAAGAAGTCTGGGTGAGTAAACGAAAAAGAAAAGCTGATGAATACAGAAAAAAAAAATGATCAAAAAACCAGTACAGGGCTGAGGCTGGGGCTGAGCAGCACAGCAGATGCCTAGCATGCGTGACGAACTGGGTTCGATCCTGAGCACCACATAAAAATAAAATAAAGGTATTCTGTCCATCTACAACTACAAAAAAAAAATTAAATCAGTACAAATGATACAAAGCAATCACAATATAATAGGGGATATGAATAAAATAGGTAAATCAATTAAATATTTCTAAGGAAAAGAAAATGCAATGTAACTACTTATTACCTCTTACCACCACCAATTTTCTATTTTTTGTTTTGTTTTTAACTCTTTCTCTGCTCTCTCCTGTCTACACTAATGACAAAAAGTAAGAAGCAACCTAGAAGATGAAAAAAATCTAAAGATGATTTTGACATCTTCTTCCCTACTGCCACAAATAATTATCTATAGATGCATGTACTTGGTAAGATAACTTTTGATTCTCTGGCACTCACCTTCCCACTCACCTTGCCAATAAAGTGGAAGTTAGGCAACTCATTTCCACTTTTGATAGTTTTCTATAACAATAGTGTTTTAAACTGAGCCCAGATTTCTTCTGAAATGCCCCAAGTCCCAGATTCTATGGATCTTGCAAAATAAGACTTCTTATTCCTTTTCAGATATTTGGAAATAGTAATCTCTTCCCTAACTCTTACGTTTTTTCCCAGCTACGTTTTTCCTTGGAAGGGAAAAGAAAAAGGAAAGAGAATACTGCTTACCGATAAGATGATGTAGAACTCCTTGATCGACTTCTAGAGTGACTATAGGAGACAGACCTTGTTCTGTGTCGTGATTTGGTTTCAGATTTACTTCGAGATCTACTTGGACTCCTGGACTGACTATCACCATCCCGACTAGGCGTCTGTTCATCACTTGAACTCTCCTGATTTCTTGGCCTCCGGTTTAGGCGAGCTGTCTTTCTTACTTCATCAAACAGAGACCCAGGCCGAACTTTATTTTTGCTTTTAATTTCTATTCTCAAGCCCTGAGGTTTCAATTCAGGTACAGCAGTCAACGCCTTTACTTCTATGGCACTAGATGTGGTGGCTGTAGGTGCTGCCAGGTTCCCCACACCTTGCAGGGGCTTCCATTTATTATCTGTGAGGTGGTGGATCTGGCTCTTCTCAGCTACCTCCTTCTTCCCAGTACTTTCTACAGCACTGGGCAAGCTGACAGAGTTGCCGTCCTGTTTCCCCACTTCCCCTAAGGTTTTGTTTTCAGACACACTGCCTTCTTGTTTTGTCTCCTCTGTTTCAGGATGTTCTATATGTATGTCCTGCTTTAGAACCACACTTATCTCTGGGGTCTCAAGCCTTGAATTTGCTAGAGGGGAAGACCCTTCTACCTTGGCTGGGGAATTCCTATCAGGAGTGCAAATCTCCATGTTATCATCTGTTTGAAGCACATCCTCTGCTGTTCCACTTGGAACACCTTCTTCAATCTGCTGGGTGTTTGGGGGTGGACTGGCAGCATTTTCCTCAGCATTTAAAGCAGTGGGACAAGTGCTGGGCTTACTATCACCTTTAGTGAGCTGGTCAAGACCTGATGACGTAGTCATTGTATTATGTTTATCTGAAAGGCTGCCCTCGTCACAGGATTTATCAGTTTTTGGAATATGATCTTTTATGGTTTCACAGTTTTCAGAAATTTGGGCTTTTTCTTTTGATTCCTGAGTAACTTGCTTTTCATTAATCTCCTCCTCCTCCTCTTCACCAAATTCTAGTGGAGGCTGCCAGTGAAATGCCTGTTTTCGTTTTGGAGCCTTGTTTTTTTTTTCCTTTTTCCCTTTCTGTTTTTCTTTTGCTTTTTTAGTGTGTTCCCTTCTAAGATTTTCCTTTGACCCATGTTTGTGCTTCTGTAGCTTTCCTTTATTGTTTTCTGAGTTGGAACAGGACCCCTCAGAATCAGAAGTTGATGGCCGCCGTTTACTCGATTTCCAAGCACTGGTATCATTAGGCAGTGAAGTATTTGCTGAAGATTTTGTCTTGGGTTTTGCTCTGATGTGACTTTCACTAACCTCTGATTCAGAATCTGATGTGGCCTCACCTTCCTCCTTATCAGATGATCGGCGGGAATCGTTTTTACTGTTTTTAGTTCTCTCTCGCTCTGAATTTGACTCAGAGTCCCATTTACTCCCAGCATAATTCTTCCTTTTGGACTTACTGCCATTTCTAAAGTGATCAGAAAGATTCTCTTTCAAAGTTCTTTTTTTGGTACGAGGGCATTCCCGTTCAGGCTTGGGTTTCTCTTCATCTCTGCTTTTTTCCTGCTTGTCGTTCATTATTTCCATTTTGCCCTGCTTCTCTCTTTCTTGGACTGACTGTGTAACCTGAACACTTGACTGTTCACTGTCTGAAGAATAATCTAAAGATGACCTGCTTTCACTATACTTTCTCTGACATGAAGACTTCTCTCTGCCTTTGACATATTTACTGCGAAGTGTCTTTTCAGAGCTGCTGCTGTGCCTTTTATTTGAAGTATTATTTTTTTTCCCATTGGATCTGAATTTCCTCTTGGCTCGTCTTTCATCATTACTGCTAACAGAAGTGTATGAAGATGATCTACTGAACGGTGAACGATCACTGTACTTACTTCGTGAATGAGATCTAGAAGATGGAGACCTAGACCTTGAATGTGAACTAGCTAGACTACGTGACCTTGTATATGATCTAGAATAAGATCTACTCCTAGAAGATCTGCTACCTGACCTTGCTGAACTTTCAGAACTTCTATCACTATATTTTGAATAAGCACTCCGATCACTTTCTGAATTTTTCTCTCTTTTACGGTAGGATGATGAACCACCAGTCTCTTTAATGTTTGCTGAACTATAAGTGCTTTGAATGGGCAACAAATGGGTTGCTTTTGCTTTCATTTCCTGAATTCGCTCATAAGAGGGCTTCCAGGGTTTCTGTCCAGGTTTCCACCTTGAAGGGGGGGGACTGTCACTCAACGGTATTACAGGAATATTTTCTGCTACCACTGTCTGTACTACTACATTTTCACTTTGTGGTACTGTTGCCCTTAAAGGTTCTGTTTTAACTGGTTTATTTTCACTTAACTGAGAAGCTGTTCTTCTTGGTGATTTTGATGCTGTCCTTTGGCGCCCTGACTTAGAACTTGACCTGGACTTTGATCTACTTTGAGAATGTGATGAAGACTTTGATGCAGTCCTTGATCTTGAGCTTCCTCTAGAATAAGACCGTGAATGAGACTTGGATCTGTAGGAATCTCTACTGGAATGGGTTGAAGTGCTCTGGTCATCCTTGTCAGATTTAGACCAGTCCCTCTTAGATGAGTGATGAGATGAAAAGGAGGAAGATCGAGATCTCCTTTCTCTATCACAAGAGGACTTCATTTGTCGAGTGGAAGATTTTGAGGATTCAATGTCAGAAGGTACAACAATTCTTCTCTTCTTAGTCTGTTTGTGTCTTCTGCAATGTTTTTGCTTTTTTGCTTTCTTTTTATGCTTAACCTTTTTTTCCTTTCTTCGTTTCTTATGGTGACCATCAGAGTGTCTTGCTGTACTAACATCTGAATAATATCCATTATAAGACCATGATCTAGATCTCTGGGACAAGCTTCTTTCATCCCATCGACTTGAACAGGGGTCACTTAACCTAGAGACAAGGGCATAATATGCATGTAGTTATTTATAAGCATATTTCTATGTTTTAAAACACATTTCCTGTTGACATCAAAGTACTTGACTCCATCAACACTTTAAACACATGTAAAAGCATGAATCAGAATTACAGGCCTTGTCTTGACCTTATACTTTCAGAGAAAAAAAATGACAACTACTAACAGATTCACTTACAAAAGTTTTTTTTTTTTTTTTTTAATCTAAGCAAGGAATTTCCTATTTGATAGAAAATGTCTATGAAAATCAAACCATCAACCAACCATAGGAGCAGAGGTGACATACCAAGCTCCTGGCTGCGATCTACTCAACACTACTCTTCCACTGGGAGCAATGTTTTTTTTTTTTGGGGGGGTGGGGTGGGGGGGGACTAGGGAATGAAACCAGGGATACTTTACTACTGAGCTATATTCTTGGCTCTTTTTGAGACAGGGTCTTGCTAATTGCTACGGCTGACCTTGAACTTGCAATCTTTCTGTCTCTGTCTCCCGAATCACTGGAATAATAGGGATGCACCACCAACATGGGCACTAAGAGCAATTTTTGAGGGAGAGTCAAACTACCTTCCCCAACAATTTTGTTGAGTCTCTGCAGATACCAGAAAGATATCTAATTTTTTTGGTGTGGTACTGGGGATGGACCCCTGGATCTCACAGTTCAGCAAGACCTCTACCACTCAGTGAGTCACACACCCAGCCCTTATAGTTTGTTTTTTTTTTTTTTTAAGAGAAAACTCTTTTTCTTAAGCAGCTAGCATGACTTGCTTTTTCTCTACCTCACAAAGGTAATCAAGACTATCCCCTAAGACTGTAATTAAGCTATGCAAGACAAAAATTAAGAAAAAATTATAAGAAAACTGACAGAGGCTTTACGATTTTAGTGGTAATGTTAGGGCTTAAAATTGAGAGCTCTGAGCTCTAGTGGGTTGCTCCAACATAGCAGGTGTTTGCCTTTTTCTACTTCTCCCAATGCAAGCCACTCTGTCAGATGCTTGCAAATAAAAACAGAATTTCTCACAAAGAACTACACAGGCCCACTTGGGTGTGGGTGTGTGTGTGTGTGTGTGTGTGTGTGTGTGTGTGTGTATATATATTTTTTCCCCCTAAATATTTATTATTTAGTTGTAGTGGACACAATACCTTTATTTTTATGTGGTGCTGAGGGTCAAACCTAGCACCTCACGCATGCTAGGTGAGCGCTCCACCTCTGAGTCACAAACCCAGCCCAGTATATTTTTTCATTAGCTACTACAGGACCAGCCTCATTTCTAACACAGATATTCCACTGTGATGTATCTCTGAGATGAAGAGATAAGTATACTCCTAAAGATGCAACCATCTCTGGGGACAGAAATTAATGCACACACTGGGTATAGGTTTTCCCATCAACCAATTAATTCATCAGTGACTAAAACACATGGCTAGGAAAGAACATGTTTTTTGTTTTTTTGCTGTGGGCTTCACTTAAGTTGATGAGGCTAGCTTTGAACTTGCGATCCTCCTGCCTCAGCCACCTGAGCAGCTGGAATTACAGGCATGTGCCACCACACCCAGGTAATATAATTTTGAAGTCCTGATTACTTCTAAAATTGAGTAAGGGTTCTTTAAACATTCAATAGAGAGAAGTCAGAATTTTGATTTAAAAGCTCCCAAAGCCATTCATCTCACCTAGTTAACAGCACTACTTTCACCCTCTGGTCACAGTATAATTCTGACTACAAATCTTACTGAAAAGTCCAGGATTAGTCCTATAATTGCCTTAACATTTAAATAAAGCAGACACTGGATTGTGCTTATTCTCAAAGCTCTTACTTATCTCCTTTACTCCATTTTTCTCCACTAGGTGGTCTGTAGGCTCTCAATCTCTGCATTTCCTCTTTCCAGTGAGGAGGAGTTTCACTGCTGTCATCATTATCTGACTCAGAACAGGATCTTGATCTTGGAGGTGTGTGATAGCGCTTTAAACAAAAGAAGAGAAACTATTTTTAAAATGCCTCTCAATTACAATCTGCTATAGGACAGAGACATGTAAAAGATCCAATCTCCGATTCCTTCAAAGGCAATCATGTAAGTACTAAAACAATGATCTGAAGTTATTTCAGACATAAGTCCTTGAGATGGGAAAGGCAGATGTTTGCCTGTAAACCCATATGAAATCTTCCTCTTCAAAGTCTTAACAGTTATATTCATTAGCTGAGACTACTCAATATACTAAGATTTCTCAACATTCTCAACAATTATTTCACATGTTCATTTCATCCTTAATTAATTGTTTCATCCAAACACAGCCATAAAATTTGACCCAACAGCAGTACTTTCTCATAACTATGGAAATTACAACTAAGTCCTTGAACGGTTTTTGTATTATAATCAAAAATCAAAGCTAGGATTTTACTTATAGGTTAAAAAAAAGTTACTGTTTGGGTAAGTAATTTGAAAAAAGAAAAGTCGTAACACACATACAATTGTACCCCTTCCTTTAATCTTCCGTCCAGACTTTGATACAGATGGTTTTTGATCACTTATAATGGGTGCAACATCTGGAATCTTCCTAGAAAAGAAGTTATGAAAATTAAAAATTAGCAAATGCTAGGCATTCCCCCCTCCATGTTTCAATGCAGAATTTATGCTTTTGTGCAGTTTTCTATTACTTTGTAACATGAAAAATCACCTGAAATTCTGATTTTAATATCCATAAAAAAAAATTTATTGAAACACAGCCACTTCCATCTCTTCACCTATTTTTTCAGGCTGTTTCTAATGTGGTGCTCTCACTGTTTTACACTGCTACAAGGAGTATGTCAGGCTAGGTGCAATGGTGCACACCTGTAACCCCAACTACTAGGGAGGCTGACATGACAAGATAACAACTTTGAGGCCAGGTTGGGCAACTTACAAGACCCTGTCTCAAAAAAAAAAAAAAAAAGGGCTGAGGTATATCACAGTGATAGAGTAGTTGTCTAGCATGTACAGGCCTTAGGTTCAATCCCCAGCAAAACACACACACACACACACACACAAACACACAAACACACAGGATTTCAAGTACTATGCCTGTCACTCATGTGTATGAAAAATGTTTTCAAAGTTGAAATGTATAAAATCTCACTTCAAATCAGCATCACCAGATGAATGCTATTATCTACTTTAATAGGAAATTTTGGACCCTAATTAAGTGAAGTCACTCCCCCACAAAAGAATTCTATTCTTCTCATAAAAAAGACCTGCCTTAAAAAAAAAAAAAAAATGATACTCAGGCCATCCATGGTGGTGCACTCCTGTGATCCCAGGTACTTAGCAGGCTGAGGCAGGAGAATCACATGTTTAAGAGCAGCCTGAGCAATTTAGAGAGACCCTATCTTAAAATAAAATTAAAAGGAATGGGGACATAGCTCAGTGGTAAAATGCTTACCTAACATGTGCTAGGCCCTTGGTTCAACCCCAGTAATCGGTGCGGGGGAGATGTTAAGTTTTTTTATATTATATTTTGCATTTTGTTGATACAACATTTGCAGTGAGCAGGAGGTATAGATCAGTGGTAGAGCACTTGCATAACATGTGAGGCCCCTGAGTTCAATCCCCAGCATCCCTTCCTGCCCCATTTTTTTTTTAAGTTTTTGATAGACCTTATTTTATTTATTTATATATGGTGCTGAGTATCAAACCCAGTACCTCTCACATACCAGGCAAGTGGGCTACCACTGAGCCTACAGTCTTAGCCTCAGCCCTTGCTGCAATTTTTTAAAGGAATGGAACAATAACCTTATGTGAAGACCTAACTACAAACAGGGTCGCTTACATACATTCTTGGCTTTCAAAATAACTATTCATATAGAACTTACCAATTACACCAGCTATTATGTATTTCTGTATACAATGAATTCTTTAAATAATTGTTAATTCAAGCCTAATATATAAATATATTAGTATTTTTAGACCAAATCTAAAGCTTTTAGATTAGTTTTTATAATGCAGACAAGTTATCAATGAGCCAATTTAACAACTGTAACAAAATATTAAATTTTTTAATAATTTTTTGGTTTGTTTTTAGTTGTAGATGGACACAATACCTTCATTTTTATTTGTTTTTATTTTTATGAGGTGCCAGGGATCAAACACAGTGCCTCACGCATGCTAGGCAAGTGCTCTGCCACTGAGCCACAACCCTGGCCCCTGATATTAAATTTATCTCCAATCACCATGTTATTACTTTTGCAGTATTAAAGTTAAAATACATTTCATCCCTCAGTTGGACTCAGAGTCCAACTAACCCTCTATTCTGATAACCAAAACCTCATCCCTTTAAATGAAAGGTCAAGGTAAAAGATCAATAATAAAATCTTTTCTAGACCTCCAATAAAACCTCTCCACTCTACCACTGAGCCACTACTCCAGCACCATCAAATGTGAATTCTAAAAGGTGAGGTACATGTCATTTATTAATCTGGCATCTCCTATAGTATCTTCCAAAGTGTTCTGAGTATGGATTATATTCAGTCAATGAGTGTGAAACTGTAATATGCCTATGAAATTTGTCTATCAGAGTGGGAAGAGAAGGAAGGGAGCATGGGGTTAGAAATAATGGAATGTGATGAACATTATTATCCAAAGTACATGTATAAAGACACGAATTGGTGTGAATATACTTTGTATACAACCAGAGATATGAAAAACTATGCTCTATGTGTGTAATAAGAATTGTAATGCATTCTGCTGTCACATATAAATAAAATTTTAAAAATAAAAAAAATTTGAAAAGAATAAAGAGTTAAAAGCTAGGAAAAAAAAAAAAAGAAAGAATTGTCTGTCAGAGAAATAAAAGTACAAAAGTCAGTCATCCTACTTACGGTTCAGGCTCCACAGTGACCACAGGCATATCTCTTCTCAGTAAAAATCTGTTCTCAGGCACTGGAGGAATCTCTTCTGGGCGGACTACAGGCTTTTCCCGTTTAGCGTTTGAATCAACTGATCTTTTCTCATTTGTATCACTCCTCTCAGAGTGACTGTCAAGGATCAAACAAGTCACCAAATAAGATGAGTCATACTTGAATTTCAAAATAATAAAAGCACAGAAAACTAGACATTAATGGCAAAACTACTGACAGCTTACAAGTCTCAAAGGTTAGTATAATTTAACATATAAAACATCAACCCAGAGAAATACAATTTTGACAATAAAATTATTGAATGATCTTAACTTATTTTTCTTTTTACAAGTTTCGGCAATTATTTTCACCTGGAAAAACACAAATCTTGAATATAAACGCATATGCTCCTCCAAGATGTCAGATTTCAATTTAGTTACAATTAAAAAAAAAATGCTATCCTTGTCATCCATTAGAAATAAACTGGATTTACATAGTCGCATGTACTTTGCCCATTCCAGGGTGGACGTATGTTTTAGTTAAGACTGAATTGGTGTTTCATACTTACCCTTTTGGGCTCATTATATGTTTGCTCCTTGGTTCTTCTGAGCTGCTTGCTTCCTTTCTTCTCCTTTTAGAATGTTTAACTTTTGGCCTCCTCTTATGTTTCCTTCTTCTGCTTCTCCCATGTTCAATTTCACTTTCTGAAGATGATTCGGAAGATGAAGAGGAACTGGAAGAGGAATCCGAGTCTTCTGAATGTGTTGGTTTCTTCCTTTTTTTCTCAAAAACTTTTAATAAATATTAACAAAAATATTAGTAATGAATTCCTGTGTCTACCTTTAAGAGTAAAAAATGTGATTACGTAAAATTATATGATAGTTTATAATAAATCAGATACGATTCTAGTTGTTTTATGTATAGTAAACTAAAAAAGAGATTTAAATAAACTTTTTGTTGATAATACAATTGGTTGCAAGACTCTAAAGTAATGAAGTTCCTCATTCTCATGAAGTCTACATTAGAATGGGAGATATAAGAAAATAAATAATTGTGTATTATAACAAGTGATAATACTAAGGAAAAAAAAAAAGCAGTGTAAAAGGAATACAGAGAGTAGGGGGAATTTAAGATGACATCTGAACAGACCTAAAGGAAGGGAGGGGGACGTGCATATCTTAACCAAGAGTGTTCTAGACAGAGAGAACGGCCAGCACAAAATCCTTGAGTGATTAGCATGTCTGAGTAAAGGTCAATGTGGCTAAAAGGCAATGAATGAGGAGGTCAAAAAGACAGCAGAGGCAGATTGTCCATAGCCTTACAGACCGCTGCAAAAACTTCAGTTTTGTTAACTGAGAAGGCAACCTTTGGAGGGTTCTGAGTGGAAGTGGCGTGGATGAGAAATGTGATTAAAAGGATCACTCTAGTTGCTGTTATAAACAAACCACAGAAGGATATAATCAAGGAGACTAGTTAGGGTATGCTGCTGAGAAAAGATTACAGGAGAACATGGAGACAGAGGCAAGGTGAAAGATTAAGAAGCCATTTCTATAAATCCGGCATGAGACAGTGGTGGTCTGGATCCAGCTGGCAACAAAGGAAAGTAATAAGAGGAGGTAAGACTTGATAGGATTTGCTAATGGACTGGAATAGGGTATAATATAGAGGCCTCAAGTGTTACTGTTATACCACTCATATGTTTGTCCACTCCTTCAATCAAGGAGGTATCTTTAAATAAATTAGTCTTTATAGTTCTTCACTGCATCCTAGTCTCTTCTAGTCCCCAAAGCTCTTACCATCTTTTGTTGATTTTGTGGCGAGCACCCCACAGTCAATAACTCGCACATCTGCATAAGGTCTGCTTGCAGCATCAGTTTTCAGATTTTCAATTTGTTCTATGACTTCAAATCCAGAAATAACCAGTCCAAAGACAACATGTACCCTGTCACAATATAAATTCAAGAAATTATTGGTTTGATGACAGCTAACCTATGAATAGTAATCAAGATAACTTGTTAATAAATGACACAGCCAAAGACCTGAAAATAAAATGAAAGTATTTGATGCATGAAGCCACCAGAAGGGGAAGAAAACTTGAAATCTGTTTCATAAAAGGAAACAACAAAAAAATTTGGCCTCAATTAAACTGAGTCTGGATTTTTCTCCTTTTCTAATAATGGCTCTTAACCATTTTAGGGTAAAAAGTCTGCACTCAATACTGAGAAACTGTCTTTCCAAGGATATTCAATACTGCATGGCTAAGAAGCCCATCCACAGGCACAGGTTAAAATTCCTTCAGTGACATAAGAGGAATAGTGCCTCAAAACCACTGCACCTTGTGATGCTTGAAGAGTAAGGTTATAAGAGATGACCCAGGCATCAAGAGTATCCACAGAGGACACACCTAGAGTCTAATGTGTCCTTATGACTGGCTACCCTAACCACCACCAAGATCATAAGAATGTAACTCTTACCCATCGAGGTGTGGAGCAGGTTTTGTAGTACTGTGTAATAAACATCAACACAAAGATGATGTCAAAAACGACGTGTTCGGGTGAAGAGAGCAGAAGGGTTTAAACACAGCATGTAGAGAACAAAGAAGTAAAGATAAAAAGATGGAGAAAAAGTTAAACATAATAAATAAATATCTAACCTTAAAGACCCTAAACCAGCAATAATAGCCACTTTACTAAGAAAAAAAAAAAATCAAAGCAAGATTATAATGAATTATAAAATCATACCTATTAGATAATATGCATATGTAGAACATATGAAATAAGTTTCATCTGAGTTATATCCACAGATATTAACATAAATACATATTAAAATTAAAAATACTTTCAAATCCAAAGCAACAAAAAACAAACATTAAAAAAAACCTCAAAACTTATAATTAAAAAAGGAAAAGCACCTATCGTGTCCCCTATGGATTGCAAAGTGGGATCAACACTTAACCCCCACATTTAGATGAGTTCTTCTATTTATTATTTCTCATACTGAGTCAGTCTGCAGCTTTTAGGCAGGCAGATGGAGGAAGGCCTCAGGAGTCCTGTTTTCAGAACTTCCTGCCCCTTTCCTCACACAAGGTGAGATTCTGCCACTTACAGTAACTCTGAAAATGCAATGGGGAGAAAAATCTTCATCTAACAATTTTGATAGCAAAGTCATGATGGACACTATAGACCTTAAATTTCTATTGCTCAGAAAATACTCAATCAGCTTCTTCTACAGTCACAAACTTCTTGGACAGTCTACGGGGTATATTTGGTTAAGGAACTTTAAACCCAAGCTGATTTCCCATAGCATTTTCACAAATCTTCAAACTGCTTGAATTGCAGTGCAAAATCCAAAAGCAGATAATCAGAATTATATACCACAAGTATCTTAGTTTATAAGAATGAAAAGTAGATATCTGAGACAGAGGTCACTGGATATCAGGCTGCACTAAAGCAATGAATTGTACTAGAAGCATCCATATAAACTTCTATGTTCATTTTGAGTAAGTTTGAGACATCTAAGTACATTAAAACACAAATTTAGCCTTTGCAACAATGCCAAACTTTACTGTAAAAGAAATTTTAATGCTTATACTTACATTAAGCATATTCAGTTCTGTAAGATGACTACAGTTATTTTTAAAAAATTAAAATGTCGAAATTAAGTTTCAAACTTTTAAAGAAAATCTTGAGTTTTAAAACTAAAAGTCTCAAATATTCCTTAGAAGAACGAGAATTTAAAAATTCAAGCCCATGTAATTAAAAAATGAAAACAGGCAGCAAAAAAAAAAAGAAAATCTAGTGAATTGTGAGCCACTAATGCCTAAATTATTAATCATTAAACTAGCATTAAAAATGGATAATCATTTTATAATAGAAATGTACTTCCCATAATAATAAAACTCTACCAAGCACACTAAAAATAAGAGACTACTACATAAGCTAGACAGATTCCAATATATAAAAGATATAAAGAGTGCTTCTAAAAATGTAAAAATTTCTCAAGAGATCAGACTCAAATACATAAAAATGAAAGCAATGAATGGATTGTTGGTTAGATACATTCCTCTTCCTGACTTGATCCTTTCTCATAGTTCAGATATTCAAGTATTGGGGAAAGTCTACAGATTTTTCTAGAACACACAAAGTCCTATTCCATTTGCCATCTTGGCTAATAAAAAACCACCTTATGGCAAACCTTTGGTGAGATAAGACAACCTAGCAAACTACTGTGATGCAGTTACATACTACTTGAGAATAGAATACGTATCGTTAAGACATTTAAATTTTTTGGTGTGAGGGACTGCACCCAGGTCCCCCACACACTATTCCACTGAGCCATACTCCCAGTCTCAAGTTTTGTTTTCAATTCAAATGAAAACTGAAGGATAAATAAACTTGGTACTTTATTTGTAGTAGTGAAGAAAAGACAGACAGAATTGCCTCTTTCTTTTGAAGACAACTTTCAGCCTGCCCATGGTGCCTAAAGTGATGTAAATAATTTAATTTACTCACATCTGCACCTGGGATCCAGAATTGGAATCCAGAAATGTAAATGTGTACTTTAACTGGGCTGGACTACATATTAAGAATTACCAAAAAGAAGCCTTCTAGGGTTCTAAAGCCTACATCCCAGGAGTAGAAATCCCAAGGTAAAGCAGGCTGACTGGCACTGGGCTGAAGTCTATAAGAATGAACAGAGAACATTAACTAAATTACAAAAAAAGGGGTATAAGACGACAGGGGACATGATTTTGTACAGTGAAGACTACAAAAACAGGCAAAGAGATCTTATCCATTAACTTTTTGTTGTTGTTGTTGTTTGTGGCACTAGGGATTGAACCCAGGGCCATGTACATGCTAGGCAAGTGCACTACCACTGGGTCACATCCTCAGTCTTCATCCCTCTAACTCTTAACTGTATTCATCTTTCAAAACTATAAAGCTCTTTAAAGAACCAAGTAGTATTGACACACTCAGTAAGTGAAAACCTTAAGAAGGCCAGAGACTATAATAAATGTGTAAGTTTATACAAGCTTATTAAAAGATACCTAAGGGAGAAACAAGCACAAATAACATTTCAGTTATAAAACCTTTCTCAACATATATACATTTCCATTTTCTCCTGTCACTTAGAATTTACTTAAAAATGTACTTGGCAAGATTTAAACCTTGTAAATCCTAGAAATCAAAAAATATCACTGTTACTCCAAAGAACAATCTACATTTTTACACTATTAGAGAATCCTTTGACCTTATGTAGAAATTACTAGTTCTGTACTGAAAGGAGACTAAAAACCATAATATAAACTATAATCCCTCTACTCTCCCACCAGAAGATGTTGTAGAAACAGAGTAGACAAGCCACCAATATTAAAATACACTTCCCAGGATTAACCATGAGCTATAAAACATACTTGTTGTACATGTAATGCTGCTTTACAGAACAAGCAGAAAGCTTTTTTATTTTTTATTTTCTTAAAATGTTTCAAAGCACATAACAACAGGCTTAAAGAGATAAAGGCAAAGAAAGAAAGAGAGAGCCTTAGAGTAATGAGACATTACCTTTGGAGCGCACGGTGTAACACTCTTTCTGTAAATTTTACACAAAAATGGCAAGAAATAAATTGTAATACACTTTTAAGACAAGACTGAATCTATGTTTTAATATCAATATAACTTTGAAATTAAATATTTTAGAGTTTAGTGCAAAGCAAGAAAGCTTTTTAAAATGGAGGGCTCTAAATTTTCTTTCACAAAGGATATTTATGTAGAGATGATTTATGCTTAAAAAAAAAAGCACTGTGGTTAAAGTAGGAATCTGCTCAGATCATTAATAGTCTAACATAAAAGTGCTGATAGATAAATACTGATTAACTAACAAAACATTACATTTCCTTTCACAAGCCCCCAAACTAAATAAGGCAACTAACATCTTCTTCAAATGAGAATAAAATTACTGAGTATAAGCATAAATATGCCCAGGAACAATTAACACTAGTCAAAAGTTAAAAAAAAAATTAATTCACTGGAAAAAACTGAGTTAAGATAATTCAAAATAAAGTTTCAAGGAACTTTTTACTAATTCACTTCTAATAATTAAAGAATCAACAATGTTTGTACAATTTGACCTTTTTGTCAGTTATACATACATCACAACAGACCACTTTCAGGAGGTGTTGAGTAAATGTAACATACACTTTTAAGTCAAGTCATTGAACATACTAAAAAAAATAATAAAGCAGCATAACTAGAATTTTAGGGATTTTCTCAGAGGATAAAAATGCAAGAGAGATGAAAGTAAAAGAGTGTACTGAAAGGAGACTGAACACCATAATATAAACTATAATCTTGGCTATAGTTTTCCTATCTAGTCTCTGATTTTCCATATTATAAAGACTTTTTCAAAAAACACACACTGCTCAATTTTAACTGTAAATGTATCTACTACTACTATTTAGATTTAAAAAAAAAAAAAAACCTTTTCTGCCATGGACAAAAAGCTTGATGGGTGCTTTAGACACATTAACTCCTGAAATATTTAAAAATAAGTTTTAATTTCTTATAAATGATACATGGATTAGTGTCAAAAGAACATGTTTGAAAGAATGTGGGGTTTCATGAATACTGTAAAAAACAAGTACTCCACATATAAAACAGTACAAAAAAGAAAATAAAGATAACCTACTTCTAATTTAGCTTTTAACATGCAATTCTCTTATTTCAATTCCTGAAACTATGACACTGAACAGAAGAGGCACCAAACTATATCTAATGATGAAGCTTTTATTAGGGCAAAAGAAACATAGTCACCTCACAGTGCTCTACCTATGTATCCCAAAGTCACCAAAATATAAGAGCTTTCTAAAATTCGGCACTAGTATTAAGGTAATCAAAACCATAAAAACTACTAGATACAAAATTTCTTCCATGTTACTGATACATGTGCCACATAAACCCTAAGTAATATTATGCCTGAATTTTAGGGATGATATTTGATAATCAGAGAAGCTGGCTTATAGGTTAAGACTCATGCACATCTGACAAATAAAAAAGGAAAAAAAGATTTACACACATCTTAGCTCATGGAAAACTCCAAAATTAACATACAAAGGTTTAATCCCCAACCCCCAAAAAGGAAGATTTAAAAAGCTAGAATTTCTCAGATTATTAACACTTACTAGCATTTTTTTCCTCACATAAATTAATGATAAGTGGGTAAAAACAACATTTCTATACTCAATCTACCCCAAATGTTAACATAGCTTTAAAAAAATGCCTTAAAACCAACTGCCCTTACCTCCCCCTTTGCTCTGGTATCCTGAAATGATGAACACTCACCTCTCATTCAGGTGGGTAGCCTCTTGCAAGTCTGTTTTTTAAATGATGTCAAACAATTCTAGAGCGTCAAATTCCACTGCCCCAGCACACACACACACACATACACACACACACACTCTCTCTCTCTCTCTCTCTCACTCGTTTTGTTTTTGTCACGGATAAAATGTAACAGGACTGAGGTGTAGTTCAGGACTAGAACACATGCCTAGCATGCACAAGACTCTGGCTTCAATCCCCAATATTGCCTGTCTCCCAAACTGTTTAAGGGTCAAAGCTTGGCTTTTCTATATTATCTTGTTCACTTATATTTTTATAATTATCATGACTACTAACAGTAGCCAGCAACAGGAACTGTTCTCTAAAGTTCTGCAGGTTTCTTTACTCGATGGCTGTAACATAAAGCCTGCACAGATTAATATTCTTAAAGCAACTCATGGACTGCTGCTCCTGATTTAGATAAGATGGGCCTTAAGCTTCTTTGAGACACCTTTCAGACTGATGAAACTTAGGCAAATATAAACATTTCCTTCAGGCAAGACAATGTTTGCATGTAAACATTCCACATATTCAGAAACTTGAGAGCATTTTGCAAAGCATTAATTCCTTTTATGACAACTTCCACCCTACTTTTAAAAAGTAGGGACAGATACTTAACAAAAAAGAAAAGATAAAAAAGAACTCAAGGTATATAGGAAACAAAACATAACCAAGGCTTTTGATAGCTAGTGTCCTATCTTAAAAAGGTCATTTAATGACAAAATATAAGCTATTTTACCTAATCTTAATTCTGTCTTATTCCACATCTTTACCTTTTCAAATAATACATATAAAACAGTAAAAATTAGATCCATAATTATTACTAACCAGCAAAAAGGAAAAAGGTTTCCCCAAATATCACTTTCTGAGCAAAATGCTTGCTGTCTCTAATACTTAACTAAATTCAGAACAGAGACATAAATAAAATTATGTAGCTTAAAGTTTGCAGCATTCTTTCCCTAACAATTTCTTTCATAATATGAATAAAGTTTCTATAATCTGGATTTTCCATGGTTCTTCTTCCTTATTTAGCATTATCTGTAGAATGAAAAGGTTGTTTTAGAGATTTCTAATTCTATTTCTACTCTAAGACTTTTATTTATTTATTTTTACAGAGCTGGGGATTGAACCCAGGGCCCTACACGTGCTAATTAAGCACTCTATCGCTGAGCTAAGTGCCCAACCCTTTCTATTTTGTTTTGAGACAAGATTTCACTAAGATACCCAGGCTGGCCTCTAACTCGCAATCCTTTTGCTTCAGCTTCCCAAGCAGCTGGGTATAGGTATGTGTCATACACCTAGCTTGAGGTCTTTGAATTCCTTAAAAAAATGCTTCAAATGAACAAATCATTGTTTCCTTAATGATTTGTAGAGACAGTGGCATATACCACTTATTTCATGTTTGAGAACTATTCCAAAAAGAATTAGTTTTCTTCTATATAAGCCCCCAAAAGCAAAAGTCATTAAGACTAACCAGCAGCAGATATAAGCAGTTATTATAAAATATACAAATAGCTTTATAGAAGAAAATCTGACTTTTATCACATGTACAATTATCCCAGTCAAAGAAAGCAATATATGCAAAATTATGTTGAATAAAAATGACTTATGCCTTAGAAGGGGAGTTGTTAACTGTGTAAAACAAGAATTCACAAAGCACATGAATCCTTGTGCAACATTGTGCCAAGAATCACACTAACAGCACCAAATTTAGACCATAGGAAATTCAGAACAACAGATTTATAACATAAGCTACACTTAATAAAAAATATATGAAAAGTTCTCATTAAGCCTATTAAAACATGAACTATAAAGGCAGTCCTTTTTAACATCGATTCTTTAGCTATCCTTTCTTTTTCAGATTTCAGAACTGCTGCTAAAGGTGTCCCTAGGAAGGGGTGTGGTAATAGGATAAAAGCCAGTGGGAAACCATCACTTAGCTTTATGACCATCGCAGCTATTATCTGTGATAACATAACTTAAACACTGTACCATACACTTTTTTACTACTTTCAACTCCAAAAGGATTTGGGCTTGTGAACCATGAAGTTTCAAAGATTTGTTTTTTTATGGGTCACCATATCCACTTTACCTACTCTTTCCACAAATGCAAAGATGTGTTTTATTCAGAAATATGAATGTTAGTTTGATTTTATCCTGCAACTCATGATATTGGTATTTTCAGCCACCATAAGGAAAGAGCCCAAGCATAAGTTTCTTAAAAAAAAATAAGGTGGATGAGGATTTTGTGTACCCATGTACAAAATTACTCTTAACTGTTAAACTTTTTTCCAGAAATAAACTTTAGACTGAATTTTCATGAGATAATAATAATGAGAAAATTTCTTCTTGTTTTTTCGTTTTTAATTTTTTTAAGGGCAGTGGAGGAACCCAGGTGCACTTTAACCACTGAGCTCTATCCCCAGCATTTTTTTTTTAAATTTTTGCAACAGGGCTAAGTTGCCCGGTTGGTCTCCCGGGTTGCTGGGATTACAGGCTTGTACCACTGTACCCAGTGAAAATTTTCTTTTGATCACAAGTTCATAGTGCCACATGAAAATGAGTTTACAATTTTTAATCCTAACTTATTGATGTTAAATATTTGACAGTCCTCTTCAAAAATAGCAATCCAATATAAAAGTAGGCCATGCTGAAAATAGTAATGGTTTTTACTAAACATTCCTAGAAAAGAGTTATTAACTAAATAACACAAAAATAAGATACTTCTGTGTTTTTTGAAGAGAATCTCGCAGACTATGTCTTAATTATTACGTGAAGTGCAGCATCTTTAATTCACTTTGTAGACAAACTCATCTACATGTTGTGATGATGGCAAGAAGCTGCTGCTACCTGATAAATCAAATTCTAAATGTAAAAAATATAAAAAAAGGAAATCTAAAAGAAACTTTAGAGCCCTCAGATGGTAGCTTCTTGACCAATGAATAGTTTTTCATGTTGAGAGTTCAGATAAGCTTAAAAATGGAAATGGGAAACCTCAGAGTAAACAGTTTATACATTAAGTCATTACAAAAAAGTTTTAAAAATATTTCTATTTTTTATTGGCCCTTAAGAATGTTAAGAATAAAAAACTACTCTAATAAACACATAACTAACAAGCTATGGGATCAAAACAAGATACAGGAACAACTGTCTTAGGATTTTTTCCTGTATAACTTCAAGTATAATCGTCTTTTATCAGCTTTCCATTTTTAGGACATTCTTAGGAATAGAATGTCCCTTATCTGAACATTATCAGATCATGTTGGAAATCTATTTTTTTTAGACAAATTTAAAATATGAGTTTATATGAATAATTTGGTCCTTTAAAGACAGGGAAGCGCCCTTCATACTCATCCATTCAGAAAGATGTCAGAGAAAATGTTTTCTGATAAACCATGAATAAAATATTTCTCCAAAGTATACAGGATAAGTGAGATTTACTTTTAATCCAAAGCATTAAATCTCATGCTGCACACAACTATTTTTATTCCATATGATGGGACTGTAATTAAAAATAGGTTTTAGAGTACATTTAGACAAAAATTTAAATTTTTTAAAATGCTGGTTCAACAGCAAATCACCTATTTCCTTCCATATGACATCAGGAAATAATGGTACCTCTCTGAAAATTAGCTCAAAGAGCAACAGTAAGAGAGAAAAACAGGTATACAATGGTTTACTAAAACCAACTGCTTTCCATGCTGAGGGTACATCTATCTGGTCCTATACTATGAAGAATTTTTAAATGTGCATCAATAGTTTATATTCCAATCCAGTTTTCATAAACCATGTTCTCAAATTTGGTAAGGGCCAAAGCCAATTTATTTTCTCACATCAACAGCATAAATAATATATATATTTAAGTTACATTTTTTAAGTTCCATTCTTCAAATCCAGGATATATGCTGAATGCTGAGGTGGTTGTTAGAGATTACCAGTTACTATATAACATTAGAAATTAATAATAAAACCCAAGCTGACAGAATTTTAGCATTAAAGTTGCTTTAACTATACCATCTTTCTCATGAACAGCGCTTCTCTGTTTAGGAAAAGCTCATCTCTGAATTATGCCTACTCACATGAAAAACTGGGAACCATTGGTATGTTTCCCTCGATTTGCCATTGACAAAAGGAACGCTCTGTCATGTTTGAGAATAAAGTTTTCATCTGTTTGAAGAAAACACAAATACGTCAGTCTCCCAATTATAAGACACTTTTAAAGTAATGCTCAAGTAATAAATAGAAAGCAAAGGATGAAATTCCTCTTCTGGTCAGTACAGATACTTGACAATATTTAGGAAAAAATTTTTCAACTAATCAAAAAAGAGCATAAAAATGCCAAAAGATACTAATGAAAGCCTTAAAGAAAAGAACATATATTTAATATTTTATACAAACAGCCTTAGAATAGTCACTTTTTGTAGTAACATACTTGGCTAAGCAGTACATAAGCTGTTAACTTGCAGGAAAAACTAATAAGAAAATTTTTAGATAAATCTCTACAGTAAAATTCATTTCTTCCAAAATTTCCAATTAGCCTGCCAAATGTACTATATATGGGTGTTTAATAATCCTTTTATTTGTTTAATTTTCATATGGTAAATTATTATTCAACTGAGTTGAAGTTAAAATATCTAATTCTTTTTGCTTTTATAAGTTTTAAGGACATGTCTAAATTAAGTATGTGCATTATCAATCAGATCACAAAATTATCTAAGGAATTAACTTTTGTAAAAATAAAAATTGAAATGGCAAAATACAATTTTAAGATATAAAAGTATCTGCCACAGGAACAACCACATTAAAGTGGCCTACAGCATTAAATTTAAATTGCTAAATGCAGATAGAACCAGCTAAAGAGCTGTTTCTTACTAATTCAGAGGAAAAAAATTCACCATAAAGATCACTTAGAGATCATATTAATTCCAGCAGAAATACCCTTATTAACTTAAAATTCCTTTTGACATTCATACAAACAAATCTTTCTTTAGAACAAACAGAAACATAGAAAACTTTAAAACATGATTACCTTGGGAACAGGCTTCTGAAAAAGAGTAGTAATCCATTTTCTCCCAAAGGAAATATAAAAGACTATTATAACACTGAAGCTTTTATAGCATTAAAACCTAGTAAAATTGGATCCCATTATAAATTTCTGCAACTGACTTTTCTAAGGCTTTTTGGGGCAAGTGCAATAGTTAGATTTATGCAAATGCTACTACTGTAGGAATAAAATACCATCATATATTTCTAGTATACAAAAGAAAACATACAAACCTTTGAGAAAGAAGAAAATACCAATTTTTATTCAAAGAAATTGCTTGGCTTAGGGGGAAAAAAACAGCTAGATTCTTTCCCCTGATATAGAACAAATAACTCATTGGGAAAGGAAAAAAAAGATACACATACACTTATGAAATAACATAAAATTATTTTCCAAGTCTTCAAGCAATATAGAAATCCAGCCACAACCTGACCCAGACTGTCCATAAATTTATTAGGAAGGGTGCAAGGGAACAGAATTGGAGTTTGTGTTACTGAGCTTTGTTCTCTTACCTTTTCATTTTGCAAAAGACCACATTCTCTATAAACAAAAGAATATGTTGACAGTTTTAGGCAGGAAGATAGGAGTTTTCATGAATATAGTTGCCTAACCTCCATGCTGAAAGTCATGTTTAACCATAAAGTTAGCCTTAATTAATCTTGTCAATTAAAAGTTATATTACAATATAATTTATCCCCAAATTCATGCAAATAAAGTATTTTCATGCAGCATTAGTTTCATGCAAAAAGTGAACTATAAGTAAACCTCTTTTCATTAAAAGTATATGACCAAACTTGCTTTAATATCAGAACTGAAACAAAAGACCATAAAATATTAGGCCTTACCTTTAAAATATCCACCATAAATTGATTCTCCACCTTTTCCATTACCTGTAAATAATGAGCTATATTAAGCCATACTGAAAATTAAAAATGTATTAATACATATAGATTATTCTGAATGGTTTTAATTTGCTGAAGGAAACCGTGAACTTTATAAGTGGTACATATAACCATAACTTAAAGAGTCCTCAATTAACTTCATCTTTAAAATATTATAATATCATTTTAAAAAAATGACTCTAGGACCCACTATTTCAAGCATTAATCACACCAACAAAATTCTAGAGTAAATTCAATTGGACAGTACTTTGGCATTCATTTTAAGGGTATTTATCACATAATTGTAATATTACTAAAATAAACTACATAAAAAGAAGTTAAATGTCATAGTATCTTATGTTTTCATACATTTTGGATCCATAGCATTTGTTCATCCCACAACTATGCACCAACCATATAACATTTCAATTATTCTGTGATATGATATTTCAATTAAAAAGTAATAATGAGATGCTTTAAAAACTGACAGATGGAATTGAGAACATAACTTTTAGCTCTACCTTCACTGAAATCCCCACCCTGAATCATGAAGTTTTTAACCACTCGGTGGAATGTAGAACCTTTATAACATAACTTCTTCCCAGTTGTTTTCCCAAGGCCTTTCTCCCCTGGGGGGAAAACAGAAAAAAATCCAAGTTTAGCTACAAACCCATCCTTCCAAGGAAAAGAACCAACCAATTATTCCACTGCCAAATCCCTCCTGTGTAGTTGGTATTTTAAGAGATAAAAAAAAAAATAATAAATGATGTGACAATTTAAAAACATACGTATACACAAATCAAAGTAAACAATACAAAGCAGTTGTTAGCTCACACTCTACATGCTACAAGAGAGAAAACTGGGGATGTTTATTTCTCTATAAAAGAATGGGATCAAGGAAGTTGATGCAAAGATTGTGTGTGTGTGTGTGTGTGTGTGAGAAGAAGTATGAATTTTACATTTTTAGTTTGCTATTTCTCATTTTAAATTAATATTATCTCCATTTTTCTACTTATTTAGGACATAAATCCAGTTAAACACAATAAAAAACAATGTTCTACCTCTCCATCTTCTAGCCTTAAATTTGTTTTTTTTTCTTTTCTTTCTCTGTGTGTATGTTTCTAGGGATTGAATCCAGAGAGCTCATTCTACTATTAAGCAAGATCTCCAACTCTTTTTACTCTTTATTTAAAGCAGGTTTCACTAAGTTTCCAGGGCTGGCCTCAAATTTGCAATCCTTCTGCCTCAGTCTCCTAAGTAGTTGGGAGTACAGGTGTATGCCATTACAAACTTGACTAGCCCTATACTGCTTCCGAAATCTGAAGTGCTAAATTTGTAAAATACTAAAATTTGTAAAGTTCTACCAAAACAAATCAATTTTAAAGTGTCTATTATTTTATAAACTACAATGTATAGTCACATGAAGTAGATTCTTACTTTCTTTTTCATTTTTAAGACCATTTCTTTCTTTTCCCTCTTATGAAATGCTTTCTTAATCTCACATAGGGTAGTACGATTATGTTTTTGGTTGCAAAAGCCATTTCCAAAGACCTTTATTTTTTCAGGAAAATATCTATTCTGTTAAAGGTAATACTATGCCAGGAGAGGGAGGGGGAGAGGGAGGGGAGGGGGAGGGGGAGAAAGAGAAAGAGAAAGAGAGAGAGAGAGAAAGGGAGAGAGAGAAAGAGAGAGAGAAAGAAAGAAAGATAAGGTAAGACTACATGCCATGACTTCTCATCAGAATAATTTAAAAATTCACTTACCTGAGCATAGGCAAAGGAAGTTTTTGCATGTTTTTGGACATATGTCTGAGAAGAGCTGAAACATAATGCGGCCAACTGAAATAAAACACATGGGGAAGAAAAACCAATAAGCAAATTGATTATATACACCAAATTATATATAGGAGAAAGAAAATAAATAATTTGAAAGTCCATTTTTCTAATTCTTTTTAATTTCTAAAGAGTTAGTGGGGAAGAATTTAACTGAGAGATACCAAGTAAAAAGAGTTCCACTGTTTTTGTTTGTGGTGTTGGAGATCAAATCCATTTGCTCTTTTTATTAATATGAAGCCAAAATCGCTCCAGTCCTAAAACTATAGGATGTTAAGTGTCTTTTACAGGGGCCCTGAATATCATATCCCTTTTAGTACCTTACCTGAACTATGAACCATATTTAAGGCTTTTTTGTGGTGGTTGTGCCAGGGACTGAAACCAGGACCACATGCATGCTGGGCAGGCATTCTACTAGTGACCCATACCCCACAGCCATCTTTTTTTTTTTTTTTTTTTTTGTATCAGAGATTGAACCCAGAGGAGCTTAACCACTCAGCCAAAACCCCAGCCCTTCTTTTATTTCAAGACAGGGTCTCACTAAGTTGCTGAGGCTGGTCTTGAACTTATGATCCTCTTGCCTTTAGTCTCCCTAGTTACTGGGATTAGAGGCATGTGCCACTGCAACCAGTAGAATATCCCTTTTTTTTAAATATTTTTAGCTGTAGATGGGCACAATTCCTTTATTTTATTTATTTATTTAGTGGTGCTGAGGATTGAACTCAGTGCCTCGCACATGCTAGGCAAGCACCACTAAGCTACAACTCCAGCTCCCAGAATATTCTTAATTAACAGTTGCACAGCCTATAATTCCAGCAGCTCAGGAGAACTTGAAGTTCAAAGCCAGCCTCAGCAACTTGCCAAGGCCCTGTCTCAAAATAAAAAGTGAATAAAGGGCTAGGGGTGTGCCTCAGTGGTTAAATGGCCTTGGATTCAATCCCCAGAGCCAGCTTCCTGAACTGTACCACCCACACTTAATATTCATATCCTATTCCCCAAAAAAGCAGAAAGAACTAATGTTTCATGTTTCCCCAGAAGAACTAATACTTTCTACAATAACTAAGAAATGAGAAGCCTGCAACTTTGATTTAACCGTGCCACAGAGAAATAAGTCACAAATTTGATCTCAGGGACTCCCTTACATTTGGATCTTAGCCCAAAGGCTGAGAAGTAATAAGTACTCCTTTAAACTCTTCAAAGCAGTTGAGACTGTATATGTAGACTATGTCTAATGCTATTTATCATATTATACATCAAAACAAGACAATTTTAGAACACAATACACAAGCACACATTCCATTCACTGTGAGAGCAGTGATGCCACAAGTTACAAGTGGTGTGATTGCTAGAAAATGGGAGAGAATGAGAGCTAATACTATCTTAACATAAAAAGTTTTACTTTAAAAAACTTACTTGAAAGGGTCTTAATAAAATTGGAAAAGGTGTTTTAATTTATAATTAGTCTTCGGAGTCCCTTTCCCCCTTATTTAACAAAATCTTTTTCAGTATGAATATTTTTATTTATTCAGATTTAATAGAGTCAGAATGAACTGTGGGTCAATTATAAGTCATATTTGGTACAGACACGCAATCACTTGATTTACTCTATGAATCATTATGGTTTTAATTTACTCCTGACCATCTCATTCAGTTACTTTAAGAACAAAACAAACATACTGCATTACAAATATCTCTAAAACGGGCTGGGGATGTGGCTCAAGCGGTAGCGCGCTCGCCTGGCATGCGTGCGGCCCGGGTTCGATCCTCAGCACCACATACAAACAAAGATGTTGTGTCCACCGAGAACTGAGAAATAAATATTAAAGAAATTTCTCTCTTTCTCTCTTAAAAAAAAAAAACAAATATCTCTAATGGATAAGTGGTATCATAAATGACTTCATATGACAAGATTTTCCTCTGTCAACATTCTGAGCCTATAGTTTTAATGAAGCCAAAGTCTAAAGCAATTTCAAAAATTTGAAGCTGATCTTGAATAATGGAGGAAAAGGGGAAAGTTTTTAAGTTAGGAATAATGTATATAAAGTCATGTCAGAATCTTGAAAAATCTATGTATCTATATTAAATATCACTTTTATGTATATTTTATACCAGTATAACAAAAAGTATTTTTTTAATTGTTAATGAACCTTTATTCTATTTATATGTGGTGCTGAGAATTGAACCCAGTGCCTCACCCATGCTAGGCAAGTGCTCTACCACTGAGCCACAACCCCACCCCAACAAAAGTATTTTCATCAATCTTTATAATCTCTGGCAAAATTTCATCATACACGTTCTTTGTGCAAACATGTTGGGAGGAGCACAAGAAGCAGCACCCAGATGCTGCAGTCAACTTCTCAGAGTTTTCTAAGTGCTCAGAGAGGTGGAAGACCACATCTGCTAAGACGAAACAAAAATATGAAGACGTGGTAAAGGCAGACAAGGCCCATTATGAAAGAGAAATGAAAACCTTTTTCCCTCCTATAGGGGAGACAAAAAAGTTCAAGGATCCTAATGCATCCAAGAGATCTCCATCAGCTTTCTTGTTCTAAGTATGACCTAAAAATCAAAGAAGAACATCCTGGCCTATCTATCCATTGATGTCACAAAGAAATTGGAAGAGGTGTAGCATAACATTGTTGCAGATGACAAGCAGCCCTATGAAAAGAGAGCTGCTAAACTGAGGGGAAAATATGAAAAGGATATTTCTGCCTACCAAGCTAAAGGAAAACCTGACAGGGCAAAAAAGGGAGTGTTTCAGGTTGAAAAAAGCAAGAGAAAGAAGGAAGAACAGTAGACAAAGAAGATAAAAGAGTACAAAGAGGAATATGACTAAGTTGGTTCTAGTACAGGTTTTTTTTTTCTTGTCTACCAAGTATTTAACCCCCCTTTATATAAGTCACTCCTTTTTTTTTAATTTTAGTTGTACACAATACATTTATTTTGTTTGTTTATTTTTATGTGGTGTTTAGGTTTGAACCCAGGGCCTCGCGCATGCTAGGCAAGTGCTCTACTGCTGAGCCACAACCCTAGCCTCTAAGTCACTCTTTTTAAAGAAAAAAATTAAAAGTGTAGGGCTGTATAAGGTTTGTGTTAAAACTATACAGGGTCCTTTTTTGTATACATACTGCCAAACGTGTCTTTATATAGTCCTGTCCTTGTGGTATTTTTTTCTTTTGGTTCTGGGGATTGAACTCAGGGATGCTTTACCAATGAGGTACATCCCCAGCTGTTTTTATTTTTTATTTTGAAACAGGGTCTTGCTAAGATGCTGAGGCTGGTCTTGAACTTGTGATCCTCCTGCATCAGCCTCCCCAGTCACTGGGATTATAGGCACATGCCACCCTATCCAGCTTCCTGGTGGTATTTTCAATAGACACCAACTTTGTCTGGCATAGTATGCATGTTAAAAACTAGCATAGAAATTTAAAGCACGTTCTTGTTGGTGCACAGAACAAATTATGTATGGGAAGCTTTTTCATCTTCAGGTATCTTTGATACAGCTTATAGTGTTGTTTTTATTAAATGAATACCATTCTGTAATTAAAAAAAAAGTTGTCACAGTTTTGTTGAAATTCTGAATGTTTTGAAGTAAACACCATTTTTAAATTCAAAAACAAACAAACAACAATGACAAACTACCAAAATGCAGATCCTCAAAACAAGAAAGGAAAAACCAAGATCCATCTACGTCAGGTTGTCAATCCTGATTCAACCACTAGGTGTCAGGAATAAAATCAGCAAGTACATAGACCAAGTAAAACTGAACATCACCTTGCAATATTTTTTTCTAGTCAAGCAACTCTAGAACAACAAGGATTGTTTAGAAAACATAGTAGTCACATCACATGGCTTAGTGATAGAGCTAAGGCTCATATGCTTTACTAGTTGAGCCTATACTGTTCTTACTAGACATTAATAGACATTGTTTGCTTTTCTACAATCTGAGATGTATCTCTCATTTTTATTAGAGTAAAAGTATGTAAAAAATAAATATTTTGAATGACTGAAGATATACAAGACTATTTCAAATTATTAAATAAATTGTATATCCAAAAGAAAAGAAAATATTGTAGGACATGACATATTATATAAGGCAAGAAAAGCACACTGCCCAACTAACTACAAACAAGGGTTGAGGATAAGAGCAAAGGTAGGAAAAGATCATACTGGCTAGGCAAAGAGCAAAACAAAAAAGGAAGAAATTAAGAAACAGGAGTAACATTTCAATAAAATCAGGCCAGTTGATCAAATAATTCTGTGTTATCTCAAAAACTCCAACAGTATACAAGACACAGTACCCAAATTCCAAGGAGTTCACATTTTAGCTAAGAATGACAAATAGAAATACAGTTGCTACACAACATAGCAAGCCATCAGTGGGATAAACAAAGTTTCCTTCTGCATTCATAGATTCAACCAACCATGGATGGAAAATACACTTTTTTTAAATTTTTTTGGGGGGGTGTTGAGTTAGCACTCAATACTTGAATAACACTCGAAACAAAATTATTCAAGGGCAGAGATTTATTTATTTTTAATATTTATTTATTTTTTATTTTTTAGTTCTCGGCAGACACAACATCTTTGTATGTGGTGCTGAGGATCACACCCGGGCCACACACATGCCAGGCGAGCGCGCTACCGCTTGAGCCACATCCCCAGCCCAAGGGCAGAGATTTATAAAATAAAACTTTCACAAATGAATGAATACTTAAATATACAGCTCAAAAAGATCACTACCAGGAAAATTATTACAAGTGGAGCAACACCAAACAAGGCTTAATAAAGCTATTTAGTTTCAGAGATATAAAAGATAGAATCTTTTTAACACCCAGACAGTAGAATCAAATTGCTTGCAAAGAAAAAAAATGTAAGGCCAGTTTCAAACACTTTATATTAGACGCTGGAGACAACAGAGCACTATCTGCCATCTTCAAAGGAAGAATATGCTATGAACCAATAATTTTATAACTAGCAAAGGAAATATGATAATCAGATTTTAT